GGGGGCTGGGGTCTCCTCTCTCTCTCGGCGCTTTTTGCCGCCTCGCCGCTGCGGTTTTGCCACCGGAGAAAGGGTCCCTCGGCGCGAGCCTCTGCTCCAGAACCCTTCACCTTCAGTAGCTTCGCCGAAATGACATGGCACAAGGATGTGTGAAACGGCTTGAGGGTTCAAAGCCTGATACCTAGCAGGTAAAGCAAGGTGTAGGAGACCTGCTGTGAACCTAACTGTAATGCCTGCTGGGGACTGTCCTCTTCTAAGCTATTGCCGGAACCACATGCAGGCATTGCCTGGGGAACCACTACTGTCCAAGGGCCAGAATGATGCCAGCAGGTATATTAACATCCTCAGCCTAGACTAAACATGAACAACCTAGCCTTGCCAAGCCATGTTTCACTGACTGAGCCTGCTCCTGCTTCAGGCACCTGTCCAGTCACAGCACCCAAGTGTAGTTCTCATCCGGCACACAGCGAAGGGGCTTTGAAACTCTGCAAGGCAGAACCTGCACTTTTTAGTGCTCTCTTTGTCTGGTCACTCTCTGATCAGCTCCAGCGGGGGATCCCAGACCTCTGCCTCAAGGTCTCTCGTTCAAGGTCTGCTTAGTATAAGCTCATTTGTGTTTGGAATGGTTGCTCTAGAACAAAGATACATCTTTCTTGTCAGCATTGCACCTTTTTCTTCCAATTCTTTAAAAAAATGTAATTAAGAACCAACTCCTCACTCTTTAACTTCCAAGTTGGCCTGAAAATTCGACAGAAAATTTCACTTCTGAATTGTTTATAGGATCAATGGAAAGCTTACATGCATGTTACAATGGAGTAATATTTGGGGTGTAAGAAGTGTTTGTTTCTCTGTCTTCTCAGTGAAGACTTTTGTGTCTCTGGCAGTATCAAATTTACCAGACCAACTCCTCTTAACAGCAGATGTTGTAGGTCCAAATTCACAATATATAGGTCTGATACTCCTGGAAACATTTCTTTACCTGCTATCTCATTATCATCATGAAGCAAGTATCTAAATACTCAGGAACTGAGTTAATGTGTGCCAGCATTTCTAAACATATTAGAAAATTTAAAGCCAGACACCGCATTTTGATCTAGTTGAGTGAGAGTGAAACTACCAATGACCTTCGAATTTCTGTGATTTCCAAAGCCTAAGGCCTGCCCCTTTTTCTAATTTTTTTCCTTTCTGTTCTTAGTAATTAAGACCAGAATGTCAGTTGTTCCATGATCAGGGCATCACACGTACAAGGACACTACACTGACTGCAATTTCTCCTTAATTCATCATTAGGAAGCAGACTTACATGCCAAGTTTGAGTGCATTTCTCCATCATCTTACACTGTTTGTCTTAAAAATACGAAGAGTGTGCTGTGACCAGAAGAAAGCGCTTCACTTGAGGACATGTCACTTTGCCTGAGTGGGTTTCTCTCCAAAATGCCTCTTCTGCCAAAAATACTCCGAGCACACTTACACGCAACACTTTTGTGGCCCTCCATGAAAATGAGAAAGACTAGTGAATTACTTCTGCTGAGACATCTGCCTGAAAGCAAACTGCAAGCAGCATGTCCTGCTCTGCTTGGATCCTCCCCTCACAGTTTGTAGTCTTGTATTGTTCCTTGGTAGTCACAGTGGGAAAACAGCTCCTAAAATTACATGCGACTGAGGCAACCTCTAATAACTGCACACACATTATGATAAAGTTTACTTGTCCATTATGGCGGTCTCAGACTCCCTAATGGTACCCCAACAAAGCATCATTCTTTTCTGCAGATGACCAGACCTTATTATGGGCTCTGTTAAAATGGTTGGTTTCCATGCATCAGTGACTCACCACTTCAACACCTCCTGCATATCCTCCTCCTCCAGCACAGCACGATCAGAATCAGAACGATGATGACAATTAAAATGCCCACAATAATCGCCAGCCAAAGCAATGAGGATACCACTTCTGTGAAAACAGAACAAAAAATACACCAAACCAAGTTAGTTTATATAGGAAAAAGAGCAAAAAGAGCCAAGAGTATGTCTGATTCATGACAATGGTCCTTCATCAAGATTGTGCAAGTTATTGCTAAGCTACACAGAAACAGCAATTGCTCAAAAGAGTGAATGTGTGTATCTGCAAAGACAAACCCGCTTGTCAACAGAAAATGCTTTGTGAAGAAAAGATGCATTCATGTTCATCCACGGCAAAGAAAACTGTCATGCCCATACCCAGTATGGTAGCTGGCATGTGTACATAAGCAGAACTTTATACAATTGTTGACACTTTCTGAAGAGTTTTTTTGTTCATCCACAATTGGAGTTTTTTGTTTATAAAGTAAAAGTTATTCCTTTTACTGTAAAACACTTATCACTGTCACAAAGGCTAAATTAACTTTCAGAGAAGATGGGCTATGTTTTGATGCCTGCAAGTAGTTCTACCCAACATCTGAGTGTAAACATCCCTCCCTGCTTAGACATTAGCCACTTCATTTGACCGCCATCCATCAACGTGACAACACAAAGGCTTATTTCAATGCTTGCTGAAGTTAGCTGGAAAACTTTCTGAATTAAAATTTATTTGAGTCAAGCCAAAACTGCCATGTCTTTTAACAAATCTAGATTGAATTATTCATTTGACTTTCTCTTTCTTTAAAACAGGAGATTGTTAAAACAATAAGCTGTTAGCTGATTTTTACTTCTCCTACCAAGGAATAACAACAGTCTTAGTTTCCTGCTTTCAGAGACACACATTTTCTTCTTAAAAGTCCAAAAGAAAAGAATATTGCATTTGAGACAAAACAGAAAGATTTATTATGCTTTTGTAATTATTGTCACTCAGAATTAAGAACTAGATTGCTTTTGAATTTTTGAAGCGAAGACATAAAAAGTCAGACCTTACTCTTTACTACTATTCCTAGAACAGTCACTTCTTCAGCATGTAATTTGGGAATTAACCCACAATCTCAAGCTCCTTTTCCTGTCTTCCTAATTGCCAAGTGGTCTTCCTTTTAAGGCTCTGGATTTGGAGAGACGTGAATTTTAAATCACCTAAATTAACGTTCCTGTGTGAACTGAGAATGGTACTTCAGCTTTTAATGTTTCTATTTCTCACCCATAGAACCAGTGTGAAAGTCATTCCAGCAGAACAGAATGTTGGAAGAAGAAATAAATTAGCACTACAAGGTATTCAGATGTTACATTGATGTATTTAAGATATCCCCATAAAATCAATGTAAGTATCTTCAGTTGATCACCTTCCTGTCTTTCTGAAAATACTGCTCCTCCCTGACTACTACTGCGATGCACGTGGGTCTTAGCAAAAATTTCAGAGAAAATAAAACATGATACACAGGTTAACTGTACCAATACAATGTAGTAAGTTCATCTGAAACATTTGTTAATTATTGTTCAGAGATAGTTTGATATTAATTTCAAAACATCCACTTCAGTGTTCATTCAGCGACCCACAGAGTTTTTACTTCATCTAGATAGATACTAGGCAACAAATATTTATACCTATCTTGAAACCGTTAAAGAAACTATGAAGGCCTGTCTGAAAACTGAAGTTTGACTTGCTGCAAAACGCACGATGCCTCTAAAACCCATAGCTCCCTAGCTGACCAGTTTGGCTTTTTTCCCCTCTTGGCGAGGACCCCAATATGTTATCTCAAAGACAGCAATGAACGCAAAGTAGGATTTCCTTTCTTCTTACTCGGCACATACACACTTCACTCCCTCCCCTTCCCAGCAGATTCCTATCCAAACATGCTATTGCAAAACACAGAGGCCAAGAGAACGCTATCTAGTAGCTCATATTGTTCACCTACCTCCTTTCATTCTCACAGGCAATTCCATTTTTTCATTCGTGTTGCTTACTCTGCAGGTCAAGTCACCGATGCTCTGAGTGTTGTAGATCTCCAGTTTACTGGTGATGGACACCATCCCATTGGTGTGCCTGACTATCTCCTGTGTAGGAGTAGTATTGAACAAGTTGTTCCAGGTGATGGTGGGCTCTGGGAGGCCAACAGCTTTACAGGTGGCTATCAAATGACCTTCAGAAATGTTGTAATGGACAGATGCATTGAGACCTACCAACACACAGATAAGACAATCCATTACCACAATGAGTACACGGTCATAAGCAGTAACAGCAGTTTAACTATGATCAATCAGAGCAAAGCTTACTGGATTCGCACTGGGCCCCACAGCACAGGAATGAAAAAAAGAGTTCTTTGGGTCAGGTCCCCGCCATGATTCAATACTCCTTTCCTTATACTGAAGTTATATACCCCAAAGGTTTCACTCAACCTGAAATCCCAGGTTTTAAAATACTCCATTAAAGTAAAAACAGTTCTTGGTCTGTGCTGTTCTCCTATCTGCTAATCCCCTATCAACAGTAGAGTTCGGCACAGCAGCTCACAGCACTGGGGTTGCACCAAGAGCAAACTGCAACAGGCAGTGTTGGTTTGCCCACATTCCAGCTGGGGCTGTTCGGCAGCTTACAAAGAAAGATCCCATTCCTTGCTTTTTAGCTGCTACTCACAGAATGACAGACAAGGACAGCCCAGAGCCAAGACCACCACAACATACTTGAATATGACCCCACAGTCTTGCCCACAGCAGTAACACTGTTTCTACACCATGTTCCACCAAAGGATGCTCCTACCACTGCAGTTCCTGAGTCCTCTCAAGGAAATGCTGTGGGTGAGAAAACACCTCCTTTCCCACTAGAGACATATCCCTGCAAAGAACCATACCGAAGACGCTCAGGCAGGTACGTCCCGAGGAGGAGCCGAAAGGGAAAGCATTGAAGAGACACAGGTAACACCCTGAATCATCCATTCTAGTGTCCCAGAAAGTGATGCTTGTCTCATTGAGTACCAAACTTGTGAAATTCATTCGGTCCTGATAGGGCTCGTGAATCTTTAGTCCTTTTATGGTACTGTACGTTGCTATATTATGGCGTGAGTTTTCAGAGTCCTTTTGCCATGTCACTTGAAGAACATCCTTGTGTTCTTTCAGGGCACAGCTGAGAGTCACGTTGTCGCCCACCTTCACGTTTCGGTGTTCTGCCTGTGGAACCACTACAATAACATGAAGTAGTTAGTGAAATGAGCAGATATCACACATATTCATAAGCCTAATACTGATTCTAAGGCCTGGATTACCCACAGACACAACAATTCCATCAATTACATATAGTTTCTATGGTCTTCCCCCACTAAAAAGTCCTTCTCCTGCATCTTCTTAGAAATCAATGAAGTTACGTTGATTTACATTGGCTGATGCTCTGGCTTTCTTCTAAACTGTTTCAAAGAAAAAGACATACTCTATTTCTGTACCCATCCCTGCTGACTTCCCACGTCAGTTTTATTAAATCAGCTCATGGCTTCCCATTCTCAGCAAAGACACAATTTTTGTTTCCTAAAAAGCTAGAGGAAGACTGAATGCACAAAGAAAGTGCATCCCCAGCCATTCTCAGAGATCTGAGCAGCAAAACAGGCTAAAGAGAATTTCTGGACTACACAGCTTCAGAGTCCACAGTGCATTGGAGAGGGAGTGTCCTGGGTTCGGCCAGGACAGGGTTAATTTTCACCAGGAGCCAGGAGGGGACACAGCCGGGCAGGCTGACCCAACCTGGCCAAGCAGAACAGGGTATTCCATACCATGTGCCGCCATGCTGGGTTCTGGTTGGGAGAAGCTGGGTGGCGGGAAGGCAGTTGCGGGTTCAGGAGCGCGCATGCGGCAGCGGGCGGTGAGAGTGGCTCTGTGCGTTCTGCTGTCTGTGTTGTGTTTTCTCCTTATCTGTATCATTGTTACTGTTCCCTTTGATCGCTGTTCTAATAAACTGCCCTTATCCCAACCCACCAGTTTTTTCCTGTTTCTTTCCATTCTCCTCCCCACCCCAGCAGGTGGAGGGGCGGCAGAGCAGCGCGTGGCCCTTTTGTTGCTGGCCACGGCCAAAGTATAACAGGAAGGGAAAGAAAAAGAGATTTGTTCCCATGGGGAAGATCCACTATGTGAAACTGAACTCAGGTGAACAACAGCGTCCAGTGTCATTGTAGATACGGGATGCTGCACGTTCCTCCCATCTCCAAATGCTGCTCCAGGAGGTCTTGTGTCACATCTGCCAGTTCCATGGCTATGCCTTAGCTGACTTACGTTTGTGAAACGGCATCAGCAATCTGCATTTCACCTGTTTTTCCCCTCTTACTCTGACTCAGTTGAAGCCTCAGGAATCAGAAACCAGTTCCCCAACCGTTTCCAGGCAGATTTCAGGAAATTCAACTTACCACTCGCCTTTCCAACGCCAGCACAAGCCAGACACAAAACGAGAGCTTGGAAAGTCATTTTGGAAAGGAAAATCTGCTTCACCTGAAGAAAGATAAGGAGAGACACGTGACTCAATAACAGACAATCTTCTGGTGATATCAATGTCTCCGGGAAGCAAACATTAATGCTAGCTTTACCGTGTGAGAAAAACATATTTCTGAGGGCAGATGGAGAGTTTTGACAGGTCTCATTACACAACACAAAGTGCTTTGATCAAGGTGGGAAAAAAAATGCACAATGGAAATTGGCATTAATCCACCAGAAGCGCAACATCCTGGTTGTCCAGGACTAGCTGCAGCTAGGGAAAG